ATTTTTCTTTTTGAATGCTTAAGTATTCCAATATGCTACCAATTAAACATGGACCAATTTCTAAATAATGCTTAATAACAAAGTTGAATCTTCAACTGTTAATATCTTCTAGAAATTTTCGAAAAAAAAATTTTCAATATTTTTCTGGTACTACCCAAGGGAGCCTCTATCACCCCTTAAAAGGAATGACTCCAATTTTGATTCACCCTGTATAATAAATTAATTAATTAAGTAAAATTACTAATGCAAATATGTATTTAGGTAGGTATATGGATAGCATAATTATATATAAAGCTAATTGAGTACCATTTTATGGTAGTGTTTCGTGGTTCAGTTTGCTTTTATACAGAGTAGAAATGTGCAACCCCTACTTTGGTTCTGTTCAGAACTTTTTTGTGTGCACTTTTCTCTCTCTGTCGAAGTTTTCTCGACATATTTTCTTTAATTACTACAAGTTATTTACCTTTTTAGTTAGTTAACTTAAAAGTTATTAACTTTTTTATCTCTTATTGTTTGGCCTAAGATCACTAGTTTGCCCGAAAATAAAAATTCTTTGTCGTTCTCAAAATGTGTAAGTAATTAAGTTAAATTTTTTAAATCTAATAACGTTTTCATTCAACAATTTTGGTGTGCATTATTAGTTGATTACTAACAACCCAAATTATTTTTCTAAATTATTAGTATTTAGGTTCAGATTACAATTATTTAGTTTTAATAAACTTTACTTAAATAATAACATTGCAACAACATGCGCATCGATATAAACAAACAAAATTAAATTTAAATAACCATTCTAATGTTAGCTGATGAAATTGGCCACCTTGACATTCTAGGCATAATCTCAGTCTTTTAAAGAAATTAAAATTTACGGACCGTAAAGTTTGCACTGAAGTTCTTATTTCGTTAGAAATATTAAATATTATTTCCTCAAGTTCCTCGATTGTACTTACTTCTGTTGAATACACCGTATTTTTTAAATGGCAAAAATCAAGCGCGCTTAGATCCGGAGATCTGGGAGGCGAGTTTATAGGAGCTTCTTGACTTCTTCCAATTCAAGGACTTGGAAAGTTTTGATCAAGCCGAAAGGATTTGAATTTTTTGCGGGCAAACTGGTGCCCTTAAGAAAAAACATTATGAAAGAAAAAAGTTGAAAAATAACTAGTAGTTATTAATTTATGTTTTAATTATTAATATAAGTTAAACAATTATCTCGATAAAAGTTTAAGTGCACACAAAAAAGTTCTGAACAAAACAAAAGTAGGGGTTCCACATTTCCACCTTGTATAAGAGTAAACTAAACTACCATAGAATGGCACTCAATTAGCTTATGATGTATACCAAAATTGAAGTTTCTATGTTTAACCGTTTTAAAGAAACAACAAAAACTAATATTTTTCGCCATTTTGGAGATCAAATATCTCAAAAATGAGACCTCAAATTAAAAAAATTCTCAAGAAGACCCCGCTCTAAAATGACTAGGAGAGCACGCTGTTAAAATATTTTAACATATTTACGGAACACCCTGTATCATAATATTTAGAATAAGACATGTATAATAATAATTGAAAAATTGAGTGTAGAAGAATAGTAGAGAAAATATCCTCTGTCTACTTTTGGTCGTAATGGACCTTTACAGGCATTATTGACCTGGAAATGACGTACATGTGGCGTAATTTTCTGACGCCAATGCAACGTTATTTTCTGACGTCAATATGACGTGATCTCTGACGTTTTTGATTGTGTTGAAATATCAATTATATTTTTATAGTATGGTTATATTGATATAACTTGAGTTCAATACACTGAGAAAGCCATACAATTTCCGGTATCTCCGTGCCAGCTCCGTTGCCCCTTAACATAAAAAGCGCTCCATTATTCGCCTGGCGCTGATAAGTACCATACGCAACCCAAGATAACTACCACATTTGTATCTATTAACATATGTTTACTTTAAGGGATTATAAACACCATACAAGCGCCCTTTGTTTCAACGTAAACGCCAAGTCATAAGAGAACAGTCTTTTGGCCCCACCAGAAGCGCACGATGTGGGAGAAAAATGAAGAGCAGTTACATATATTTTTTTAAAGTTAAGTTTAGTTATCAGTGTATTTTTGTACTCTTTATACCCCCTTGCAGACCTTGCACTCACTCTCTTACTTTAAAAGTATTTACCTTTATCTTGTTGTCTAGCGTTAAGATTAGTGAATAAACGTCTTGTTGCGCGATAATAACAGTTTTTTTTATAGATATTTTGTTTTGGAAATTAATGATCCTACGAAATAATCTGGCAAACAAGAATTCCCCTTAGTTCGTCGTTCATACCACGTGTACTTTCATGTAAGTTGCAGAGTGCAAAGAACAGAAATGTTGAGTTGTTTTCAACTAGGAGTTTTATAAAGTGATTTATAAGCAAAGATAAGCTAAATTTAATTCAGCATATCTGATTAGAGTATGTTCACAGTTACAGAATTTTCAGCAGAACCAGATGAAAGGCTAAGTATTGACCCCAGCATCAAAGAGGTCTTTTGGTCACCTTTCAAACATAAAAGAAAATTTGATAAATCTCTAAGAACTTCGAAAAACGTTGGGACCTATTTGGTATTCAGCGCTTATATGAGACTGCCAGTTATATAATGTCGAGTAAGTCTAGAAGTTTAAATACATTGCCAACATAGAATAAGAAAGAAGGTTTAAAATGTGAACTGTTTGGTAATAAACCAAAATTGTATTGGGTATAAGGAATTTCGTCATTTTTTTGCAATAAAACGTTTAAGCTATAGAAATAGTGATTTTGTAACTGCCAAATTAACACTCTATTTAAAAAACCGAAAACCGTAGTAATGACGTGGGCGATTGACGTGATAATGACGTTAGCAATTAATCACTATCATTAAGACTCCAGAAAAATAACGTTATTACCACGTCAGCAAATTGGCGACATGAAGGCGACAGCAATTGACGACATTTAGACAGCGGTCCCACAGCAACCACTGTCATCAACTATCACCCACTACCACCGACTAAAATTGTGGAATCTGCAACGAACGGTCTCACAGCAATTATTCACCGGCTTCCACTGTTTACCAGTTTATAACCTTGCAACACGACAAATTTCGGACAGAATAAATTAATAAAAATCAACCTTTAATGAAAACTATTTAATTAAGACAATGATTTAAATGATATTTTAATAGAGAGAGAGAGAGAAAAAAAGAAAGAGTTTCCCTTGAGCGGGTATTTCGGGCGGTTGAATTCTGCCGAAATACCTAATCAATTCTTTTACCGTGATAGTACTTAAACTGACTTGAATCATGATATTAAAAAAAAGGAAAATGGTGAGCTTAATAAAGAACAAGAAAACGTGGTTTGACGACCACAAACGACTTTCAGTCTTAGTCGGAAAGCACGGGAGATCACTTCGCCCACTGCCTCATCGCCTTTGAAAATGTCCACCGCAGTTGGGGACGAAACGTCAGGACGAAAGAACGGTGGGTAGAGCGAGAGAACGCTCGGGAAAACCGAGAGAACTCTCCCTAAAACTGGCTTGTGCTGGCCTTTAAATACCCCTTTCGCATGTCTCTCTACTGCCTAGTTTTTGACTTGGTAGTGGGAGCACTTTATGGTAGAGATTGTTCTCGAAAATTCGCGGTGTACGTGCGCGATGCGGGTGCGGTTAAAAACTAATATTCAAATAGTAAATAACTAGACGGCTAACGGGGGCCCTCAAAAATGAACATTTACATATTTTTGAATGAAATTTGCCGGACAGAAAGAACCTTTGGTCGACCTTCGATGAAATCGTTCGCGGAATCCGGCCTGGAATTCAGCAATTGCCACAATCGCAAATACAATCTAACACGAAAATAAATATGCTTTTATTGGGCCTTTGAAAGTGAAAATTTGTCAGGCGTTGGTTTTAAATTAACCGGAAAGAAATAAAATGTTAATAACGTTCGTTACAACATTAATAGAAGAGTCATTTGTTTAGACAAGCCAAGCAGCTTAAAAGTCTTCTCTCCCCAATGTCAATCATGGTAAAGTGCTGAATTGTCACACACGGGATATCACATCACTGATAAAACGATATTGACAAAATCTAAATTTTGTCTTGCTTAGAAAGACAGTATTCTAGTAACTGATAAATCTACAACCATATTTTAAAACTAATTTAAAATAACTAATTTAAAAAATCAAGATTTTGTAATAGCACATACATACATACATACATACCCGTGCAGGTTGAGCGACCCATTGGGTGCGTCCCCAGGTGGCGGATAGGGGGAAGGCCGGTCAGATACGTCTGACCGGTTAGCGACGGCCATAAGTGAAAGTCGTGGTATAAAACCCACGGAACTGGATCAAAAGCCGTCGCCGCGGACCAGCTCGTGGCACAAACCGCCAACCGCCTGCAGTGCAACGACTCTCGTGGCTTCGGCCTCGAGATAGGTGCCGCAGGAGACACGGGGATCTTGGTTTCACTACCTGGATCGCGTGATGAGGTCACTATAACACCTCCCAATTCTTACGGTATAGTGCGCGCCAAGAGAAGCAAGGCTGGGGGGAGCCCAGCCAATAGCGACTAACCTTGAGGTAACAGGCGCACCTCATTGTATCAGCCTTGCCCACACATGCGGGGCTCTGCGTGGGTGGACCAACCTTTCCCTAGCTGCTCGTGGGAATGATATGAAGAAAACCAATATTATAACACCACAAAATACCGGCGGGACTTCCTCAGAAGAACCGTCGCGCTCCGCACCTGGCAAACGACCGAGGGGTAAAAATCTCTCGGGAGCCGCTAGACAAAAGAAAAAAATTGTTAGGGTCAAAGAAAAGTTTGGACCAATCAAAACTGTGCCAGATACACCCTCAGGGGAATCAGCCCACACCAAGCAAGCTGCCACGACTGAGACGCAAAAGCGATACCGGTCGGATGGCAGCACACCCGATAAACCGCAACCTAAGCGGTCGTGTGTGGGAACTTCCGCAAAGAAAGGAACCGCACACAAATCGTGCAGGGACGCGATTTCCGGGATTAAGATGGCCATAGCGGCGGTTGGACATCCCGAGAAAAACTGTTCCCCTGAGCAGGGAGAACTCATAAAGAGGCACCTGCTTGAGAGAATCGATGAACTGCAACCAGGGACGACGAATCCTAAGTTTGCAGAATGCCGCTACCAGGGGGGCGCCCTTCTGATCACCTGCTCTGACCAGGTCACTGTGGACTGGATCGGCGCGGTGGTGGGAAAGGCGAAACCCTGGACTGGGGCGGAGCTGGTGCTTGTGGAGGCAAACAGGCTTCCCAAGCCAAAGAGGGCAATAGGGTTCATCCCCAAAATTACACCTCCTGAGAGGACACTACACAGGATCGGTGTCCAGAATAATCTGAACACCAGTACCTGGGAAACGAGCAAGCCAGCGGTAGGCTGCTAACGATCCTCATTGACCAGAACTCGTGGGAGAAGTTGGGTGAAATTCAATACAGACCCCACTACAACTTCTCAAGGGTTACGTTCAGGGCCCTCTCCTCTGGCAAGGAACCTGAACAAGCCCAAGAGGCCCCAAAACGGGGGGCAACAAAGCCCTTAAAAACGGAGGGGAGGAAGGTACCCGCCAGTCCGGGGGAAGCCGACAACATGTTTGCACCTCGGGGGGGCAGGTCTACATTCCAACCCCCGCGGTTACTGTTATGGAGGTGGAGGCGATGCCATCCGGTACCGTGGAGGGCCGGAAAAGTGGCTCCTCCGGGGGGCTGGTTGGCACTACAGCCACCACCGCGGAGGCGCAGGGGCAGCAACCCAGAGCACCCATTCACGCTATGGAACAGGGGGCACTGGTCGCAGGTACCTCGCCACTTCTAAAGAAGACCTGACTGGCTGGAAGACCCGCCCGTCTGAGGGGAGTTCAAATAAATCTTTACCACTGCCGGGCGGCTTCGGCTGCCCTCAGTGAGTGTATGCTAAAGACATCATAAGATGTCGCTCTAATTCAAGAACCTTATGTCTATAAGGGGAGAATTCGAGGATTGGGGAACTTCAGAAGACAAATAGTCTACTGCCAATCTGAAGAAAGCCCACGTACATGGATTCTCATAAGGAATACAGTTAGAGCTATACCGTTATGGGAACACTGTAGTAGGCACCTTACGTGTATAAAAATAAGACTTAAATCGAAGGGCGGGGACCGAACATTAGTTCTGTCATCTGCATACCTGCCACACGACCAAATAGGACAACCGCCTCAAGGTGATATACGCAATTTTGTGGAGCACAGCACTGTAAGGCTTCTAAGACCAGAACTGTCATTGGGTGTGACACAAACGCGCACCACATTTTGTGGGGCAGCAGTGACACCAATAGACGGGGCGAGTCTCTTTTAAAATACCTCTCGACCTCATCACTTGAAGTCTGCAGTCAGGGAAATGAACCGACCTTTGTAACAACGGTACGAAGGGAGGTCATAGACATTACAATCTGCTCAGACCGCACCAGCGAACTGATAAGAAATTGGCATGTGTCGGATACACCCAGTTTGTCCTATCATAGATACATACGATTCTACATCGAGTCGGAATAGGTTTTCCTCTCGGTGTATAGAAATCCGAAAACAACTGATTGGGCCCCTTTCAGAGAGAACCTTAGGTTGCAGCTGCGGGACTGCGCAACTGAAGCACTTACTGTGCAGGAGTTAGAACTGATGGCGACTACCGTCACATCAGCCTACGAATCCGCATGCCCTCTGAAGTCGAAGAGACAAATGAGGACATCCAAATGGTGGAACCCGGGACTCTCAACGATGAGGAAAACGGTGAGGACGCTATTTAACAGGGCCAAACGAAACGGGGCCTTCTGGGTTAAATACAAAACATTCCCTGACTACATATGGCAACGCTATCAAAAAGGAAAAAAAGGCTTCATGGAGGAAGGAACGCAAGGATATCGAAGATATGCCGAGAGCTACGCCAGACTCTATAAAGCACTCTCAAAAGAACCACAGCAAAAGTGGGCTCTCTGATAAAACCACAGGGAGGATATACAACAACAGAAGAGGAGTCCCTGGAGCTTATACTTAAGACTCACTTTCCTGGATAAATACTGGGAACAGGCAGAGAACAGGAGATACCGGTGACTTAAGTGATACCGGTGACTTAAGTGATACCGGTGACGGTAAGTGGGCCCTTCAGATCATTTAAAATACCGGGAACAGATGGCCTAATGCCATTTCTGCTACAACAGGGAACCTATTTACTGGTGCCCCTCTTGTGCAAGATGCTCCGGGCCAGCTTGGCCCTGGCATATATACCAATGGAATGGAGAATGGCGAAAGTAGTATTCATTCCAAAACCAGGGGGGCGACGTATGCCCAGGTCAAATCCTTTCGCCCGATCAGCCTAACATCCTTCTTACTCAAAACACTAGAAAAGCTGATCGACAGACACATCAGGGAAGAGGTTCTTACTAGAAGTCCTCTAAACCACAACCAATATGCCTACCAAATGGGAAAATCCTGCGAATCTGCTATCCACGAGTTGGTGCAGAGGGCACAGACCTCATTAGAGCGTAAAGAAATTGCTCTGGCGGCTTTTCTGGACATAGTTTGTTTGTGGCCTTTGACAATACCT